CAGCAAAGTTCACAATGGCGTCGCTGTCTGCAGTGCCGAGGTCAGGAACGAAGTCGAGGACGAAGACGTTGTTCTTCAGCACTGCTTTCCCGATGTAGAGACCGCCTCTCCCGTGGTAAAGCTTGAACTCCTGGGTCGTGCTGTCGGCTTCCAGATGAATTCCTTTCGCCATCAACTGGCTAACGCTCAGTAAGTTGTAGCCGAGTCCTTCAGCGATGAGTACCTTAGACATGTGCAGTATGACATTTGTTTCTCTTGACTGAAGCTGTACCACTCCTTGTCTTCGTGTGCGCAGGTTTTCGTTGTTGGCAACCGTGATGATCACTTCCCGTTGGAGTCGATGTTCGCGTTGTACGAAACGCCCGGACGAGCACATGTGTTGCCCGCAGCAACTGTCCAAGAACCAGGTGTCTTGGCCGGACGGTTCACTTTGAGCGATAGCGGCGTAAGTCGGATTTGGATGGAGTGATTCGCGACGAGGCGTCCTGTTGTCGAGCTCCTCTTCCGGTGAGTAATGGGGTGGTGACTCTGTTGTGCAAGAGTCGTTTATCTTGACCATGCAGTTGACTATATGTCTTGCTCCTTGTGCAGGTTGTCCAGTTGAGGTCGTTGAAGCTTGAATCGTGGTTGTCGAGCTTGCTTGTGTCGAAGCAACTTGGGTGCTTGAAGGCCGCAGTTGTCGCTGTGGTGTTGTCTGTCGAGACGGGCAGTGCGTGCGTGGGTGTCCTGATGTCTTGCAGATGTGACAAAATGGAGGTACTAACTTCGGCTGCTGCTGTTGATTGTTGTAGTAGTTGTATCGTCGCTGAGTATGGAAAGCAAACTCCGGTGCTAATGTCCTGTTCTTGTGTCTTTCTTCTTGCAGGTCCATATCCTGCTGCTCGGCGTGAATTTCGGCGCAAAGTGCCGCTTCGGAGATCCTCCCGTGTGCTCGAAGAATTGCTTTGGTGGCGCGCCACTGAGGACCGAGGCCGCCGATGACGACTGTTACGAAGGCGTGTTCAGAGATTGACCCTCCACACCGAAGAAGCTTGTCGCGCAGTTCGCGACATCGGCTGATATACGCCAACCCTTTTTCTCCTGGTTTCATTTCAACTGTTGTCAGCTGCGCCATTAACCTGCTCTGGTTTACACTGTCTGTTGCCTGGTACAGGTTCTTCAGATGGCCGTACGCGAGTTCCGCCGAGTTGCCGAAGTTCCGGTAAGAGCGAATGTTTTGCTGCTGGGTTGGTGTGATGTTTCTCAGTAGAATAGTATACGCCATCATGGATTGATACGTATACTGCTGCTTTTCATACTGTGTCCCGTTTGCTGGATACTGCAGGGATCCATCGAAGAAGCCGAGTATCTGCGCGCCCTCCATCATCAACTCGAATTCAAAGGACCAGGTAAAGAAGTCCTTTCCGTCGAAAGGTCTTGACGTCTGTAGTTTCAGAACATGCGCGAACTGCGACTGTACTTGTAAGGCATCCATTGGTTTGTCTTGCGCAGGTGGAGGTTGAGGCAGGAAGCTGATCGACCCGCGTTCGTACGGGGCGAAGGTGGGTTGCTGCTGTTGATTCCCTCGCGCATATGACGACCCGTCAAGGCTCATGGGTGTCGCTCCGTTGTTGCTGTTGTGTGTCTGTGCAGGTCCCGACTGCTGGTGTTGCTCGTAGAAGGACATGAAGGAGAAAAATTTCTCCATCATGCTCTGGTCGAAGTCAGAAGGATGGTTCGTGGGGGTCTCGGTTGACGTTCCCCTTGGTCTTGCTGCCGTGCCTTCCTCTGTCTGCAGGCCAGAGGCTGGCGGTGGAGTAGGAGTAGTGCCCGAGGAGCCATTAGGGGAGCTCCTTTCCTTGTTTGTTGCCATGTCTTGTAATGATCAAAAGGTTAGAGTTTTCCTCTGTCAGCTCTCATACCATGTTGGGCTGAGAAATAGCCCTTAGGATCTTTGCAGAGGAGAACTCTTGGGTAGAAACTTGTAATAGCGGAAGCGTTTTAATGAGGATTGTGAACCGACCTTGCACTGGTGTGTGAGAGCAAAGTAGATTAAATTGAACAAGCAAATACAAGGATTTATATAAGAGTACAGGGAATACGAATAGATAGATAGATAATTGTATTGCTGTTGCGGTTCGATACAGTGCGACTCGGGCAACTGCTCTGTAACGAGTCAGTTGTGTGTCCTTAACTGTCGCGCTGTAATTGTCGAGTCAAAGGTCAGCGACCTTTGACTTTCTCGTAACCTCCAGGCGGTTACCCTAACCTCCGAGGTTGACTCGATGCTTCGATTGGGACTGCTTCGCTTGGTGCCTTGGGTCTTGGTACGACAGAAGCGCACTTAGGACTTATTGTTTCCAACAAGTCATAGGGTAGGTCAGTCAGTCACAGGGTAGGTCAGTCAGTCACAGGGTAGGTCACTCAGGGCCTATGGCAGTGGTAGCATGGTGAATGAGCAAGGACAAAAAGAACATGAAAAGGGGTCAGGCCAACAACGTCACTTCCTGGCGTTGTGCTGAAATCGCAAGTTTATTCGGATATGTAACAAAGTTACAGATCGGGCATGCACACATGCACGAACACGCGTGGTCGGTCCGTATGCTAGGAGCCTTGCAGTGTGGAGGGCCGAGACTAGGGAAACCAGAGCGATGCTCATGTATGGACTGAAAGGTCAGAATGCTTACCTAAATAAGGGTTTCCTAGAGTGTCGTGTTTCAGCGGCTCGCTGGCAGAGTGACTGAACAGCGGCGCCAAGGAGTCAGTGAAAATGCAGTGCGTGGTGCTGATAGTAAGGCTTGGCGATTGTTAAACTGGTGCGAGGGAGGGAAGGCAACGGGATAAGCGGGACCAAGAAAGTACTTAAAGCAATTAATACTCGCTACACCCTGTTGGCTTGATAAGCCAAACCAACGAGGGAGAATTAATCGCCTCGCTCGCTGCTCGTGACTACAATTAAGCGGCGGACCCAGAAGACCGAGGCGCGAGCTCTCTAAGGGTTGCAGGCTAGCATGCAAAGCTCTAGCGAATATGACAGTTGTCAATCATAGCGCGAAACAATTGCATCAGATGTAATGGCGCAAATTCAATTATGACAGCAAACAGACGCGGATGTTTGTGATGATTGCAGATATGCGAGGCCATACAGGCATTGTTTTCGGGCAAGCATTGCTGAGTGGAACCCCGATTAGCATCAGATTTGCCCTAATAAGAGAATCGAGGCGTGGCGCCTTCACGCATGCCTAAACAACTATTGAGTCCCGGATGTTTGTTGTTGCACTAGCTCTGAGAACGTGAAAGGGAGACGCCATTTTGGAGGCAAGGACGAGAGAATCAGAGGGTATTGTCCATTTAAGGACTGGAAACCATCGTCGAATGGATGGAAATGATGATGACGGTAGTGAGGTGTGCGAGTCGAAATGATCATGGAATGACGGGACCAGCCTTACCTCGGAACTGCTTTCTAGGGTTCCGCAGATTGAAACGCCGTGAGGCTAGGAGAGGCAATGACGCTTAGGCGCAAAGGGTTTCGGACACGCCAACAATCTTAGATGCTGCGCAAATCTCACGCGAGAAAACGAGCTGGGTTTGAACGAGCAGATAAAGCGTGAGGGGCGGGCGGAGGTATACTAGCTGTATGACTAGCTCTGACTGCGACGCGGCTTCGAAATTTGAATGTGCGCCATCAGTAAGCAATATTGTCAAAATGGCATGGGGAGCAGTTGGGTGATGTTGAGTGGTTCTGCTAGTCACGAAGGGTAACCAGAGCTCGCCTCATTCAACGATGCGCGTAGTAAGTGCAAACAACAGCTCCGTACATGTGTCGTCACGTAAGCGAAAGTACTTTTACAATTTGCACAAACCCGTAACGGGTGAGGGCGCTGGCGGTGTATCTCGCTCGAAGCACGTGCTTGGGTGAACTGAGAACGACACGATGACTTGCAATTTTGGTCACGAATCACAAAATTCAACACACTGTTCCTTTCGCGAGCAGCTTTGGTGTTTTGCGAACTCTGGGATGGTAACCGTTCAGTAGTGCAGTGCATAGAACTTTGACGAGACGAGATTTGAAACACCTCTGCTAGACATCACAACACGTACATCCATATAAGGACGTGTGTGAAACAAGGGTTTATGAAAGTTCACGTTTTTTACTCGATTTAAGCAGGGTTTTATAACCTGAACTTGAATCGATCTTGAGATGTGGCAAGGTTCGCACCGCGTGTGAGCATTCTTGTATACTCACAATCACACACCAAGGTGCGAATTTGCAAGTTCGAATTTACAGAGGGGGAACCGAGCCGCAATTGGAGACTGTAGGTTACCCGGTTTCAAGCACACCACAGCGCGACACGTCACCGGAGCGCTGCTAAAAAAAGTGAGCCCTAGACCTCCAGCTCAACTTCACATCTGTGGCAGTTGTGCACGATACAAATATCGGCGAGATGAACCAATTTCCAAGTCAGCATCTCACAATGACTCTCATTCAGCTCGTGCGTTTCCTGGGGATTGTGCTTCAAGGCTACCTGCGATGCCTCGTACTTCCAATGCTCACTGCCATTGGTGCGGCCATCCCCAGGCTCGTCGCTGCCTTCACTCTGCGACAGACCCGCGTCTTCGTCCGTGGGGATCGCCAGGATGCCCGCATGCGGTGGTTCAAGCTCATTACCCTGCTGCCCGAGGATAAGTTTTACGAGTACATGCGCGTGGACCGGCGTGTATTCATTTACCTCGTGCGCCAATACCAGCGAACCAACACCTCTACGCGGACGCATCCCATGTTCTCCTTCATTTTCGTCGCTATGGGACTAAACCGTCTCGGTCATGGACTGTCATTCCGTCAACTCGGTCTGCACTTTGGATATTCGTTTTCACATGCCCAGAAACTCTTCACACAGTTTCTTGACTTCGTCAACAGGGTCTTACTTGAGAAGTGGGTCATTTGGCCTGACTTTGAAATGTGTCAAGTCTTCGAACGGGAATTTCGTGCGGAGGCGGGAATTCCAGGCGTCGTCGGTGCCATGGACGGCACGTATATTCACTGCCAAGGACAAGGGCCACATTGCGAGGATTTCCGTAATCGCAAAGGTTTATTCAGCATAATTGCACAACTAATTTGTGACTGCAGTGGCTACATCTATGACTTCTACGTTGGATGGCCGGGAAGCGTCAATGACGCCAGAGTCTTCCAGCACAGTCCGGCACGCCACAAGATCGAGCTAGGAGGCCTCTACGACTTCGTCATCATCTCCGACGCTGCCTATGGTCTACGTGACTACATTCACACACCCTACAGGGCGCTGCCAGGCCGCGGACTACCGGACGAGCAGCGCGTGTGGAACCTGCAGCAGAGCCGCGCGCGAATGATCGTCGAGCAGGTGAATGGCATGCTCAATTCGCGCAGGCGGATGCTGGACGGCAGGCTGGAGTGTGACGTTTTCTGCGCCCCGCAGTACGTCTCCGCCTGCATCGTGCTGCACAATATCGATCTGCTCATGGGCCCCCGCCCCCGGCTTCTCCCGCCGCGCGAGCGCAACACGTGGTGGCAGGAAGGCCCCACCGCCGAAATGCCGCACTTCCTGCCGCGGGAGGAGGGCTTCACTCCTGCTCGTCGTCGCGCTCGTATGGCGGCGTGCCTCTACGCTTCCTGGAGGCTGGGGCATCCTGAGCAGTCGCAACCAACACTTGGGTACGGTCCATAAATTGCGCAAATTGTGCCTCCATTGCACTGTTAACCGAAGTCGCAATGATAGCGGCTATTTCCTTGCACAGCGACGCATCACTAGCATTCATCACACTCCCTAATGCATGTGCGGGGCCGTTTGCTATTGTTGTTTCACTCGCAGTCGCAGGCCCAGGCCGACGTTTGACGCCACGCCCACGGAGCGAAGCTCCCGTGCGCGCACCGAGGACGTGTGAGCGGACAGGAGACTCCGCCGCGGCGGCATTTGCGGGCTCGTCGTCCGATGCTGGGGTCGTGGTGAGCGGCACGTTCGACGGCGAACCACTCGGCGTGGAAGGCCTGCGCTGGCGCGAGTTCGTGCGGGGAGTACCCCTCGGCCGACTGGGCGACGCCGAGGCCACGGTGTGCACGTCCGTGGTTATTCTTGCTGGAGCTTGCATGGCACAGCATGCAAGAGGGGTATGGAGGGGGGGATAATGCAGCAATATAAGTTATGGGGTTTCGGCAAGAAGGTTAATAGCTATGTATCTCATGTAGCTAATACCTTTAATCGAGGTGGGCTGTTCGGGGCTTGTGTGAAGTGAAAATTGCACATGAAAACACTTACCGGCAGCAGGAGCAGTTGAAGGCAGATTAACCACATTAGCTCCAGGGAGGCTGCCTGCTAGTGCGGGCGGACGTGCATTCGCGCGATCGCCCAATATGCGCTCGAAGATGTCATAAAAAATGGGCAATTTCGGAGGCCTGCCCTTGCCCGAGTCGTTGAGCAGGAGATCTCCCACCCGTCGATACTGCTGTTCCATCCTGAAGACCTTGGCCTTAACACCGGCCTGGTTATGCCTGAAGTCTGGGTGGCGCTCGCGCAGCTTCTCGTAAAGCATAACATCACGGTTCTGCCCCTGCAGGCGGGTCTGGCTGCGCCATTGCGCGTCGTAGTCGTGGCGGATCCACGCCAGCTGCATCACCTCGTGTGGTTCCCATCGAGGCCGGTCGGACGTGGTCGCAGGGTCGGTGTCCTCGTCTGCGGTGTCTTCGACGTCGCAGTCGACCTCACCAGCGTCGAAATATGAGAGCGTGTCGTCGGTGGCGTTAAGGGGGGTGTTGTGCGCGGGGACACGAGCAATCACTTGGTCGAGGTCTATGACGTCTAACCTGCGTGTAGTAGTATTGTCGACTGTGGCACGACGACGGCGCGCAGGTGCGGGAGAAGCAACTGGAGCAGTAGTAGGTGCGGTGGTTCTGTTGGCTTCATTCTGGGAGGTCGACATGATGGGAGCCGTTTATGTTGTGTTTCACGGTGTGAAAGCATGCTAGACCTCTTTTTTAATGCTTGAGGGTTGGTGTTGGGGAGCTGGGATTTCATGGCCCCATCGTGTGCGCTGGGAGAGACGCGCGCACGACTAGCCATCGTGGCACGAATTGTGCCACGTGGTGGCCATAGCGAGTTCAGCAATGCGCCGTGTCTTGGTTGTGATCTCATTGGCGCACGAATGAGTCGCGAGGTTCGCTGAAACCTCGTACGTGCCTGACACCACACACGTTTGGATCTTTGTGTTTGTGCAAGTTCACGAATTTTTCTGTATCAAGTTCACAAATGAGGGTTCGCACTTCCCAAACGGGGAATTTGTTTCGACTTCGGCGAGGCGGTTAGCGAACATTGGCGAAAAGGGTAACCACCAAAAGTTCGACCCTGATTACGAACTCCATAAAAAATCTCACACGTCCTAATCATCCCCGCTTTTTGCTGCCACCATAACCAGTAAACCTGAAATAGTCGCCACGTTGAGTTTGCCATAGGTGCATCCAAATTCGATAGCCATCAGTGACGCCATGTATCGTGATAGTATGCATGTCAGGAAGTTGAACGCTGCGACGAATTAGATACTGATCACGTCGCGAAAATGCTCATTGCCTATAGTAAACGCGATGCCGCCACGATTAGTTTCGCAAATCCAATGTCATCTTCTCTTTGCCGAGCGAGGGTGACATGCAAAGAACATTTCCGCACGACGCGCCGCGGCAGGCACTGACGGTCGACGATGCTATGCGAGGGCCGGGAGGCGTTAGGTTATTCGCAGGAGAGGTCCCTCGTGGGTCCTGTTGGGCATTCAGGTCCCAAGCGCGGACATGCCGTTGATTCTCATGCGCGTAATGCGCGGTGGTGAGCGATTCTCACCAGTAGGATGCGAGATGGTTTGGAATCAGACGCGCGATGGCGTTGACAGACGGGCTGGCGTATGGGAACTGAGAGTGGCGAACGATGCGATTGATGGTAACAGATGGGATGCGCGTGAGGTGCGTTTGCATGGACTGGGCACGTGATCTCTCGTTCATCCTCGTCCCTCCTCTGGCTGCCTCTCCCTCTTTGCTCTTTCCTCTTGAGTTAAGCCAGGAAGTACCGTTATCCACAACTTCCATATCCTTTCTCAGCCACTTACCCCTTTTCTAGAGTCAGTCGAGATATATTTCTTGTCTGTGTGGCGTTGCTCTTTCTCAAGGCCGTTTTCTCCCTTTTGTCCTCAACTGCGGAGCTCGTAAAAAAAAGGGGCTCTGCTGAGAAGCACTTGGTTCCTAGTTGGCACCTCTCTGCTGCCGTTCCACACACCAGGTACGCACCCTTATCTATTCTCTTGATCATACCCCACTCACAACAGCTTCTTGCTGCCATCTGAATCACCTGCCATCTCCACCCACCAGGTACACACAGCCTTCCTGTTTTTCCCCACCGCTGCACCTCTTCCATCCCTCTGCGTTCCCTGCCTCACTCATCCTCTCTCTTCTTCTCCTCCCTGCCCTGCCTTGTATTGTCACCATTCCCTTACATGGCACGTAGCTAGAATTCACGATGCAGCCATCCGAAACAAGTGCGGGCATCTTACCGGGCCAGCCACTTATCTGTACTATCGGCCATTCTAATCGGACATGGGAAGCGTTTATTGACCTACTTCAACGCAACCGTATTGTCCGGGTGATTGATGTGAGAACTCTACCAGGGTCGCGCCATAATCCACAGTTCAATAAAGAAGCTCTCGAGACATCCTTACCTTCGGTTCAAATTTCTTACACCCATCGCCCAAACCTTATAGGCCGGCGCAAAGCTCGGGCCGATTCTCCCAACACCGGTTGGTACAATCTTTCCTTTCGAGGTTACGCGGATTACATGCAATCGTCGGAGTTTGCCGACAATGTTCAATGGGTCGCAGAATTAGCGCGCACTGAGCGTTGTGTGCTGATGTGCGCTGAAGCAGTGCCCTGGCGCTGCCATCGCTCGATGATTGGCGACGCGCTTCTTGTGTGGGGTATTCGGGTTGAAGATATTATTGGGCCGAAGGAACGTAGACCACACGTTCTTACCGCCTTCGCCCGCGTTGACGGGACGCAAATCACTTATCCGCCACCATGAGTTTTAGCCAGTATTTCCCTAGCAGTGGCAGAAACAGTGGCGGCAGTAGCGGCGGCGGCAGAAGTAGCAGCATCAGCAGCGGTGGCAGCAGCAATAGCAGCAGCAGTGGCAGCAGCAGCAGCTGCGGGCGAGGGTTGAGATCAGGAGTGAGTGTTTGGAGCCAGGCCGTTTTGGTGCATTAGCTTGAACTGCTCAAGTATCTTCAAGAGGAGAGAGTGTACAGTAGCTGATAGGCAAGGAGTGGAAGTGTGTGCAAGTAGGTAGCTGGACAAGGTCTTGCTTATAAACAGCCTAGGGTAGGATAATAATTTGTGAATTTGCTTTCGCCCTGTCCTGAATTGAGACTGAAGTACTGGTAGTTTTGCTGGCTGACTTGGGATGCAAGCTTGTGTATGCCATACTTGATTCTGTTGTGAAATATAAAATTCCACAGGCACATGGCAGCACACCTGCAGGCACATGGCAGCACACCTGCAGGCACATGGCAGCACACCTGCAGGCACATGGCAGCACACCCGCAGGCACATGGCAGCACACCCGCAGGCACATGGCAGCACACCCGCAGGCACATGGCAGCATACCCGCAGGCACATGGCAGCACACCCGCAGGCACATGGCAGCACACCTGCAGGCACATGGCAGCACACCTGCAGGCACATGGCAGCACTTCTGCAGGCACATGGCAGCACATCTGCAGGCACATGGCAGCACACATGCCATGCGTGCAGGTGGCTTCTCATCTGATTGCAGGCAGGGCGAAGTGCCGACGCACAGGTGAGAGATGCTTAGTATGCAGAGAGATCTGAAATTTTTTATCAACCTCTCTCTCTTCCTCCATGCATTGATGTTGCTGCCATGCCTTACAACTTTTGCTCCCTCGCCCCCTCCCCACCTAATGTGGTGCTTGTGGCTCTAGTTTGCATTGATGGAATAATTAATGTTGGCACCTCCTCGCTCATCATTATTCGTCTACCTCCCTCACACTATCCCCCTCACTTCCTTCCCTTTTCCACCCCAACAGCACCAACAGCTTCTGAGGGGTGGAGGAGAGGGGGTGGCCGCGGCTGGGGCTGGGCGCTGGTATGTGCGTTGGACAGAGGAGGGCAACGTGGTGAACCGGATGGCCATCACCGTGAGGATGCTCGACAGGCTGGGTGTCATCTCATGAGCGACATGGCGGTAGAGATGTTCATCCAAGGAACAAGTGGGCAGTACGAGCATCCAAGGATGGAGTAAGGAGTACGACATGGTGTTTACAGTGGGTGTGGCTTGTGCTTTCCAGTCTCTTCGAAAGTGTATAAATCTGCTTGGGCTGGAGGCAGCGCGGGAGGCAAGGATTATGACCTCGTGTGCTGGTGAGTTTACCTAGGCTAGGCCTTGTGGCAAGGTTTTTGAAACGTCTCAGACTTCTTGTGCTGGTGAGTTTACCTGGGCCTCGTGGCGAGTGAACTCGTGTGTTTCGACAGCTTCCATGGTGTTTCACATTGATGGGGCGGAGAGATGAGTTGTGACTATACCTCGAGAGTTGTGACTATACCTCGAGAGTTGTGACTATACCTCGAGAGTTGTGACTATACCTCGAGAGATGTGACTATACCTCGAGAGATGTGACTATACCTCGAGAGATGTGACTATACCTCGAGAGATGTGACTATACCTCGAGAGATGTGACTATACCTCGAGAGATGTGACTATACCTCGAGAGATGCATGGTCCGAGTTTTCTTGTCATGTGATGCCTCCCTCCTTTGCGCCTTCACCCTTCCAGGCCTAGTATGGTGCTCTGCCACTCGATCTCTGACATTGCGGAATGAATGCGAGCACTGCCTTCCCATGTGCAATGCCAGCATCAGATATCCTCCACCTTCCTCTTCTCACCCAACAGCACACCCCTTTTCTGTTCATCCCCCCGAAGCACTCCCCAGCACACCAACAGCATCTGCCTTGTATCGGCCGTAAGGAGCCCAGCTCGGGGCTGTGACACAAAGCCAGAGAGCTGCAGCAGCAGCAGTGGTGGCGGTGAATGCGGTTATCGGGGGGTGGGGTGGATTCAGGCGATAAGGAAGCCCAACTCA